TTAACTTTACATAGCTTTCCCCAAGGATGCTCAAGAGACCAAGGCTGAAACATATAAAGAAATTCAATACCGATGCTGGAAAAATAATAAAATTAGAAGAAACAAAAAAAAAAGTTATGGTTAAACTATTTATGAAAATTTGCATACAGATTATCACACAATTTCTTTTTATGGAAGAAATATTAACAGCAAGGAAAGATAGTCATAGAACTTGATGTTGATTCAATCTTACTCATTGGATCTCACAACATATGTGTCAAGAAAACCTTCAAACAAACAAGCAAGATCAATAAAGAATGCCTTGACATAGTATGTGACTAGATCATCCACAGCTCTCATCATCTCTCCCATCAGAACTTATAAACGAATATAAAAAAGAAAAATGCAAGTTGAACATGCAAAATCAAAAGGTAACGTTAAGAACCTTCAGATTATCTTCCAAGATGCGAGTAAAATAATTCTGCAACTCAGATCCTCGAAAGTAGGTCAAAATTTCCTGCCAATCTGGAGGGTTCTGGAAATAGATTATCCAAACAGGTAAATAAAAAACACAGTGAAAGAATCAATTAAAGAAACAAAACCTCAGAGCATTACATTGAAACGACCCAGGTTTGGCTTTAGCTTCCCAGCCAAAACTTTAAGAGCAGTTGATTTTCCAATGCCATTTGTTCCAACCAGCCCGAGAACTTGCCCAGGCCTTGGAACTGGTAACCTAAAATTGCATTTCAAAATCATCTCAAAATGGAGGGGTAGGGAGAAAGAAACAAAAAAATGAACAGAAAAGTTACAAAGATTTTGAAGAACAGCGTGAATAAACCAACCTGTGTAATTTGAAAGTATTGGGGCCATATCGATGGGTTGTATCTTTATCCAAATCTCTTGGTAAGTTAATGATTTGAATTGCTTCAAATGGGCATTTCTGCATCAGAAGATAATTGGTTCACACTCATCCAAAAACGGAGAAACCAACATCAATATGACATCAAAGTAAAATAACGGACCTTGACACAGATTCCACAACCAATGCACAACTCCTCAGAGATGAAAGCAATCTTTGAGGCAGGGGAAACCTCAATGCAAAGTTTCCCTGTAGACAGAGAATCAAAAGTGAGAAGGAAAATTTCAAGCAAGAGAGAATGGACAAACGACCCAAGTAACATGCTAACAGCCTACTCGAATAACAAGTGTGCAACTAGATAGATATATTACAAACATTAACAAAATCCAAAATGCTTCCAAATAAAAGCTTATATTAGTGCTAGCTGAGCCAGCAAGTAAAGGTGGAATATATATACACACACTCTTTGTAAGAAACATTATCGTTATAAGAATTTCATATACCCACTTCATGACAAGGAGCCCTGAGAACTTTGAGATTCTATCAAGATTTATTCTGGTTTAAGTCATTTCTGAAACGAAAGATTCTGATTGTAGTTATTTGGATGTACCGAATTGTAATAGTAATGGTAACTTCTCAAAAAAAATTCCATAACGATATATATAGTTTCTTCCTCTAACTGTTACCTTATACTACTTTCCCATTCTTCTATAATATCATTCCCCCTATACTATATTGCTTTATATTTCTTTCAGGTTACCGACTGATGGTAAATCCGCTTGCAACACAAGCACTGTAAGTTTCCTTGTTCCCTTCACGGGTTCTCCACTAATTAACGTCATCCAGTAAAAATTAATGAAACAATTCACTTAAGGAAATTCAATTAAGATGCAATTAGATTGCCCCCAATTTTCAATCTAAGAAAACAGGAAAAGCCGTTCCATAACAAAATTTAAAAAGAAAAATTCAGCAACGGAGAGAGTAAAGTTCAGATTACCAGTTTTAACAACAGGACAGCTCTTTTTGCACTCTTGGCGGCACTTCTTGGGCTTGCAGCGGTCGGAGCTGACAATTGCAATACGTGTCAAGCGATCAGCCATCTCTCCGTTTGATTAACAAAAGGGAAATCAAAAGATTGTGTAGGTTTAGGGGTTTTAAGGTCGAGTGGCGTTTTAAAGCTTTTGTTGATGGAAATTGAAAGAGAAAAAAAAAGGGGTGGGGGGGCGTTGGCGTGTGCTTGGATCGGGAGAGAGGAGATGAGCGTAGAGCAAACCCAAATCACGTTGACGAACCTTTTAGGGTTCTCTTCTGTTTATATTTATGATAAATTATACTGTTCATCACTAAATGATATTCTCTATTTATTTTGGTTACTACAGTTTACAAATATTTAATTTAATCACTGTATTTTTAAATTACTTTTATTTTATTCATTTCATCATTTAAATTATAAAATTTGGGTTAGGATCCATTTACACCTAGGGTAAAACTTTTAGTTTTACACCTTTTTAGGATAATTGGATGAAGGGAAATCAAAGACTGAGATTAACTCCTTGTTTTTTTCATACAACCTTTGATTTTCTTTCATCTAATGATCCTAAAAAAGTGTAAAACTAAAAAGTGTTACACTATGTAATTGGATCTTGCCCCATAAAATTTACGATATTTTTATTATGACATATCATTTTTATTAATATTTAATGTCAAATAAAATTTAAAATAAAAAATTTAAAATTAAAATTATTAAACTCTAGTCTTAATCCAAAAGCTTTAATCTTAAGCCCTAAGATCCAAACCCCAACCAGCCACTCAAAATTTTATTGACCACACTAAACCCTCAGCAATCACCCCCACATCGTTTCAACCTAAAACCCTCGTAGTCTTCACCGACCTTGCTCGCATTATTCCAATCATGAAACCTTCACAGACCACCCTAAATCTTAAATCATAAATCTTCGTTAACCACAAATCCTTTACTAAAATCCCCAAATTGAAAGAGAGAGAGAAAATATGTGAGACGTGTGCTTAGATCAGTGGAGAGATAAGACGAGCACATCTAAATTATGTTGACGAACTTTTTAGGGTTCTCTTCTCTTTATAATTAGGGTAAATTATATGGTTAATCACTCAACTATCTTTTCATTCTTATTTCGATTACTAAAGTTTATAAATTTTTAATTTAATTATTAAACTTTCAAATTGCTCCTATTTTAGTCATTTCATCGTTTAAATTATAAAAGTTGTGATGCCATAGATTATTTTATTATGACATGGTATTTTTATTAATATTTAATATCAAGTAATATTTAAAATAATAAAATAAATTAAATTAAAATCATTAGACTTGTATCTCATTCAAAAAACCTTAACTCTACTCCTATTGATAACCCCAAATTATCTTAGCCATAAACCCTCATCAATCACCTTAAACCCTCACCAATCTAACCCACATTATCCTAGTCCTGAAACCCTCACAGACCACCCCAAACCTTAAATCTCAAACCCTCGTCAACTTTATTATTACATACCCTAAAATATTTAGCAAAAAACTTTAACCTTGAAAGTTTTTGGGTTATAATACATCCAGGTCTCCAATCATAGATCTCAATGGTCAAAGCACAACACGTCCAGCGGAGAGTAACATATTTCAACCGAATAACGATTGGACGATGAAAAGACATAAATCAATGATATTTTGTTAGAGTATGCCTAAAAACATAATTATAAATGACATTTATTTTTACCTTGTTTATTAATATAAGGCATTAGCATTATTATTTAAGTTATTATTTTGTGCATATAAATAAACTGAACTATAAACATCTAGCAATATAAGATTGCTGCCTAAGTTACTAGAAGTATTGATTCGACATAATCTTTATGTGATTAACTTTTGATGCATCAAATCTTATTTTCTTCATATCTAGATTGGACACAAGTCATGGAATAATCACATTTGTATAGCTCATCTAATATTTCCTGATATCAAGAGTAGACTATAGTAAACGAATAAATATAATCTCATGTCAACTTATTTGACTGTGACCATGTATTTCTAGTTTCATTCAATCAAGTTACATAAGATGTTGTTTCTATCATGTAGGAGGGACAAATCATATATTAATCAACCGTGTCTTACTACATGGATTGCGATATATCCAACAACAGTCTTTATGGTACAACTAGCTACGATGGATGTTTGGTTGTATCAAAATGTACGATTCACGATATTGAAATAATGATGATCTCAAATCCGAGGATCATATACATAGTTATTAGTACGAGTGTTGTGACTATTACATAATAATTTAAAAAATATACTCGTATATGTAGTTATCAGTCCAATATATTATTCTCTAATACATATACATTTATTGATTTTGACATTCCTATGTGAATGACAATATTTTGTCTTCAATCAATTACATAGTAGTCTTAATGTATTAATATTGTCTATTTAAGAATAATCATACTATTCTTATGATTTTATTATAAAACAGTTTATTCGTATGCACAATAAATAAACTGAAATAATAATGGTAATATCTTATATTAATAAATGAGATAAAAATAAGTATGTTATTACAATTATATCATGATTGATATATGGTCTTTAATAAAATAATTGAAAGTTTAAATTAATTCAAAATTCTCATATTAGAAATGTTCAATCGAGGCGTTTCAAGATTCATTAAAAGTGTAACTAAACATTTATCGATTATCATATGACATCTTAATTTAGAAATTTTCAAATTTGATCTGAAAATTCATTGTAAGTCGATACAGCTTTAACTTTTTATCACGTACAGTGTGCTTGCCTTTCAGAATTATAATAAACCTAGGGATAAGAATAAAGTTGGTACGATTGCCTTGTTAAATGCAAATGGCAGTGCAAGCTAAAGCTATGTGTTTTTGGCTTATAGAGATAAAGTGTGGTTAGATTCTCAGTTAATACTATTAGAATATAATTTGTGTATATATATAGTATATATATGGGAGGAAATGCTTTAAATGTAGGAAAGGAAGATATTTCCCCGCCGCTTGGAGCTAATTTATACCTTGCCAATCTTGAGAAGCCTGAAACAGAGAATCACCTTCATTAAACCTCCCTAGTGCACCACATAAACCAAAAGTCGAAAAAACCTCCGCATGTTGACATTGATTGGTGAGCCTATCCCAACCCGATGGAGCCGAAATTAAAGTTTCAACGAGCCGGGAACGAGCAACGAATCCATTGGTGTGGTGTGCCGCCATCATCTGCACCGTCTTGACCGTAGCGGTCATTATTGCAGGCATTGTCACCTTCATAGGATACTTAGTTATACATCCCAGGGTGCCTTACGTTAGCGTCATAGATGCTCACTTAAACTGTATGTAGCTCGATTATGCGGGTGTTCTGGAAATTCAAGTAACGATATTGATTCGAGCTCAGAACGGGAACAAGATGGCGCATGCTAGCTTCTCGGATTCAAGTTACAGCCTAGGTTTGAACGGGGAAGTGGTGGCACAGCTGGTAGCACCACCCTTTGAAGTAAGTAAGAACAGTTCAGTTAATTTTAATTATGTAGTGCAATCATCACCTATACCTTTAGGGCCAGAACAAGCAGAGGATGTGGACGTTGTTGTGGAATTCGGGTTAATTTCCACCAATAATAACAAATTCACCTTGAAAATTATTATTTAGGTGACTAGTGTGAAAACGATTGTACTAAATATCACACCAAGGTAGATTCCCAGGAAAGAGGAGGGGTCACAATGGTCCCTCTTAAAACCCACTTTCCTTAGACAGAACTACCAAGACAAGTAATTTTAATAGGACAATAATTAACAACAACTATACCCGACAATAGCTATTAAATATACATAAAGAGAACACCAAAATTTAATGAGGTTAGGCCAAGATTATGCTTACCTCCTCGAACACTACTAAAATAATATTTCACTAGTAGAGGAAATATTACAAAGAGAGAAAGAGTACATATAGCCTTTAATAGTGAAGAAGGCTTATATTTGTGGGATGTTAAACTAAGGAGGATGAGGGCTCTATTTATAACAAAAGAATTTCCCCTCCTCCTTATACAAAACCAATGTGGGATATTTGCCAAAAACCAACAAATCTCCACCTTGGCAAATTCCACACACGTCTCTCAAAAAATCCAATCTTCAGTAGTGTCTGCAAATTCATCTTTTAATTTGTAACAATATTGACCAAGTCTAAATAATGTTTTAACTTGACCGTAGTTACCACTTTTGTCAACATATCAGCAGGATTCTGAGTGGTCTGAATCTTCTGGATTATGACTCCACCTTCTTCTAGAATTTCTCGTACAAAGTGGTATCGAACATCGATGTGCTTCGTCCTTTCATGGTAAACTTGGTTCTTTGCTAAATGAATAGCACTCTGACTATCACAGTGCACTTTGATGTGCTTTTGTTCCATTCCCAATTCACCAAACAACCCTTGAAGCCAAATTGACTCCTTCACAGCCTCTGTAACTGCCATATACTCTGCATCTGTAGTAGACAAAGCCACTGTTGATTGTAAGGTGGACTTCCAACTGACTGGTGCTTTTGCAAATGTAAACACATAACCAGTAGTTGATCGACGCTTGTCCAAATCACCTGCATAGTCTGAATCACAATACCCAACTACACACTGACCATCTTGTTTGTCCTGCTGAAAGACCAAACCAACATCTACGGTGTTCAGAATATACCGCAGAATCCATTTCACAACTTCCCAATGCTCCTTTCCAGGATCATGCATATACCTGCTCACAACCCTAACTGCCTGTGAAATATCTGGTCTCGTACACACCATTGTATACATTAAGCTACCAACAGTACTTGCATACGGAACCTTTGACATGTATTCCCGTTCTGCATCATCCTTAGGTGACATGGATGCACCGAGCTTGAAATGAGGAGCAAGAGGTGTACTAACTGGTTTTGACTTCTCATTCATGCCAAAACGTTTTAATATCTTCCTCAAATATTCTTTCTGAGACAAACAAAGCCTCCCCAATTTCTTATCCCTTGATATCTCCATGCCTAGAATCTTCTTTGCTTCACCAAGATCCTTCATCTCAAACTCCCTGTTCAATTGAGTCTTTAGTTTCGCAATTTCTGTCTGACTCCTGGAAGCTATCAATATATCATCAACATAAAGAAGAAGATATATATAGGATCCGTCTTGTAGCTTGCGTAAATATACACAATGATCATATTTGTTTCTTGTGTACTTCTGCCCTATCATAAACTTGTCAAATCGCTTGTACCACTGCCTTGGAGATTGCTTCAATCCGTATAGCGATTTTTCTAATTTGCACACCATCTCTTCTTTTTCAGCAACTTTGAATCCATCTAGCTGAGTCATGTAGATTTCCTCATCCAAGTCTCCATGTAAAAATGCAGTTTTTACATCCATCTGAACTAGTTTCAAATCCAACTGTGCTACCAAAGCCAACAAAATTCTGATGGAGGAATGTTTTACAACTGGAGAAAATACTTCATTATAATCAACTCCCTCCGTTTGAGCGTAGCCTTTAGCCACCAATCTTGCTTTGTAGCGGATGCTATTCTTGTCAGGAAATCCATCTTTCTTTGCATATACCCACTTGCACCCAATTGCCTTCTTTCCCTTCGGAAGACTAGCTAGTTTCCACGTCTGATTCTTTTGAAGGGATTGCATTTCTTCATTCATGGCGATCCTCCACTTTTTATGTTCTGAACTTTGGACTGCTTCATTAAAAGTGGCAGGAACGTCATCAATTGCAATTGGTGATGCAAAAGAGACCATATCAGCATAATGAGCAGGTTGTCTAATGGTTCTCTTTCCCTTTCTGAGTGCAAATGATTCATGTTGCTGTGGAGGTTCTTGGGTCTGAACCTCTTCTTCATTTGACTCTTCTTCTACCATAGGAGAGTCAACACCAGTTTCTTTACTAACTGGGTCAATTATGCTTCCTTCAAACTCTACCTATTTGGGAGTTCCATCTGTCTACTCCAATTTTTCTGAAGTCACCTTTCTCAACATGGTAGATTCATCAAAGGTAACATCCCTGCTGAAGATTATTTTCTTTGTTTCTGGATACCAAAGACGATAGCCTTTCACACCAGAGGTGATCCCCATAAAGATCACCTTCTTTGCTCTTGGATCCAGCTTTGACTCCTTAACATGGTAGTATGCAGTGGAACCAAACACATGTAAGGAATCATAATCTGTAGCGGGTTCTCCAAACCATTTCTCTAATGGTGTTTTACCACCAATAGCAGTCGATGGTAAGCGGTTGACAAGGTGACAAGCATAGACCAAAGCCTCAGCCCAAAATTCTTTGCCTAACCCAGCATTAGACAACATACACCGAACCTTCTCCACTAATGTTCGATTCATACGCTCTGCCACCCCATTCTATTGTGGTGTAGATCTGACAGTGAAATGCCCGACAATACCTTCTTCTTCACAGACTTTTAGAAATGGATCATTTTTGTACTCTCCACCATTGTCTGTACGGAGACGTTTGATTTTTCTGCCTGTTTGAGTCTCCACCATCTTTTTCCATTTAAGGAAAAATCCTAGCACCTCATCCTTTGTCTTCATTGTATACACCAAAACTCTCCGGGAAAAATCATCAACAAATGTGACATAATAGTGTGTTCCTCCCAATGAAGTTGTCTTGGAAGGTCCCCATACATCTGAATGAACATAATCTAAAATACCTTTAGTATTATGGATTGTTGTTCCAAATTTCACCCTCGTCTTCTTCCCTTTGATGCAATGCTCACAAAAAGCTAATTTGCAAGCCCGAGCACCCTTCAATAATCCTTGATCTATCAACAATTTCAATGATTTTCACCAACATGCCTCAAGCGCATATGCCATAACCTGGTTGCTTCTGACTCCTGTTCATCAGTAGAAGCTGCCACTGTTGCTGTCCCAACAATTGTACTACCCAGAAAGTAATACAGATTGTTTCTTTTTTGGATTCCTTTCATTATCACCAGTGCACCAGAGATAATCCTTATAATCCCATCTTTTTCCCTCACTTCTAAACCTTTTGACTCTAAGTTTCCTACAGAGATGAGATTTCTCATTAAATCGGGTACATAATGGACACCTGTTAAGGTTCTGATTGATCCATCCTGATTCCTCAAGCGAATTGAATCAATCCCAAATGTGTAAAGAGGGGAATTATTTGTTGTGTATACAATTCCACCTTTTAGTTCTTTAATATCAAAGAACCATTCTCTATTGGGGGTCATATGGTGGCTACAAGCTGAATCTAACAGCCATGAACTGGAACAGCTGGTTGATGGTGTAGCAGCGAATGCGAAATCTGAATCTGCATCATCATACTCGACCACATTTGATTCTGAGACAGCCTTTCCCCTTTCAGGTTTGTCTTTGTTCTTTAGCCTGGGACATTCTTTCTTCCAGTGCCTTTTTTTCTCGACAAAAGGCACATTCATCTTTGCTCAATCTGGACTTTGACTTCGATCTCCCTCTCCTTCCTTTATTCTGACTCTTCGAACGGCCTCCAACAACAAGAGCTTCTACTTCGACACTTGTGTTTTCTTGTTTGTCTGTCTTTCTCAATTCATAACTATACAAGGCAGCAGTTACTTCACTGAGAGACACATCAACTTTCCCATGAAGTAGAGTAGTTTCAAGATACTCAAACTCATCAGGAAGTGATCCCATCAACATCAGAGCCAGATCTTCGTCTTCAAAAGTCACTTCCATATTCATCAGATCGGTTACCAGCTGATTAAAGCTAGTAATGTGATCATTCATAGTGGTATCTGGTACATAGTTGAAGCGGAATAATCTCTTTTTCATGTAGAGCTTGTTCTGACTGCTTTTCTTCAAAAATTTCTCCTCTAGTGCCTTCCACAATTTACTTGCAGAAGTTTCCTTAGAAAATGCATACTTCTGCTCTTAGAAAGACACGATCGAATAGTACTACATGCCAATCTATTGATCCTCTTTCATTATTTCCCTCAACATCATCTGGTTTCTCTCATTCAATAGTAATGTCTAGACCCTGCTGAAATAGGGCATCTAGAACCTCATTTTGCCACATGCCGAAATGACTGGTGCCATAAAAAATCTCAACTGCAAATTTAATATTTGTCACAGCTATTGACGACGATGTGGATGTTTTTGTTGCGTCTTCCATTTCTGCTACAAATTCTATTTAATAGCTGTCAATGCGGAATGTCAATTATCCCAAGGAAATTTTTTCTGATGTGGAAGATCAGCCTAAGCCGCAACCACAGAGCATACTAAAATAAACCAAGAGCTCTGATACCAATTGTTGTGGAATTCGGGTTAATTTCCACCAATAATAACAAATTCACCTTGAAAACTATTATCTATATGACTAGTGTGAAAACGATTGTACTAAAAATCACACCAAGGTAGATTCCCAGGAAAGAGGAAGGGTCACAATAGTCCCTCTTAAAATCCATTTTCCTTAGACAGAACTACCAAGACAAGTCATTTTAATAGGACAATAATTAACAACAACTATACCCGACAATAGCTATTAAATAAACCTAAAGAGAACACCAAAATTTAATGAGGTTAGGCCAAAATTATGCATACCTCCTCGAACACTATTAAATAATATTTCACTAGTAGAGGAAATATTACAAAGAGAGAAAGAGTACAAATAACCTTTAATAGTGAAGAAGGCTTATATTTGTGGGATGCTAAACTAAGGAGGATGAGGGCTCTATTTATAACAAAGAATTTCCCCTCCTCCTTATACAAAACCAATGTGGGATATTTGCCAAAAACCAACAGACGTGGGGTTGAAGAAAGATTTGATAATATTGGACTTCAAAGGCGGTAGCAGAGTGAGATGGAGGATAAGCAATTTGGGTTCAGTTAGGTTCTTGTGTCGTCTCGATTGTCAGTTGCATTTCTATCCTTTGAATGGAACTTATATTCCTTCACGCTGTACTTCCAAGACCAAATGATGTCTTTTTCTTTCTTTATATATACTAATCATTATGTCTTTGAAAGCTGTCAACACACATTTTCGTCCTACTAGGATTCAAACTCCTAAAAATATGATAGAATTTTGTTAGGATTCAAACTCCTAAAAATATGATAGAGTTCTACTATTATTTAAACTCCTAAAGATAGGATCCACAAGCATTATAAATAGTCATTGTAACTCACTATTGTAACACATTCGGAAGAGATATACGAAATACCAAGCAAAAAATTACAAGCAACTCGTAGCCATTTTTCGAAGCATTTATATTTTGAAAGGTAAAGTTCATACTTTCGCATGTTATTTTTCCTCACCCTTGCTGTGTTTTGATTCGAAAGAAAATCGAGAGAAGTGTTTTTGGCCAATGAACGAGGGCGTTTTCGAGATCTATTTTTGTAGATATAGCCCCCGAGGCTTGTGTGTTTTTGAAAAACTATTCTGATTTTTATAAATGGGTCGTGTGGATCTGTGTATTTTGCCTCTACAGTGGGTTAATGCCCATTTCGCTCCCCCTGATTTTAAATACACGCAGATTATTTTTTCTTCAATTGGCTTTTAATTTCGACCCCTAATTCATTTTTTGTTTTAATTTAACCATTATTATTTATATGTATATATATATATATATATATATATTTTATTTATTTATTATAGTTCTTTTTTTTCATTTTTTTGCGTTAGATTATATTATTTTCCTATTATATATATATATATATATATTTTATTATCTATTTTTTATACTATATTTTCCTAACGTTATATATATATATATTCTTACTTTATTTTATTTTATATTACTATGATTATTATTATTTTAGTTAATATTATATGTATATTTATTTTTCATTTATTTATTTTTTTTATTACTATTTAGTATTTTATTATATTATACATATATTTTTATATATATATTTTTTATTATTTTATTTATACTATTTATTTATTAACATTATATTTTTAGTTTCTTTGCTCTTATTATTATTTTTCTTTTTAAAAAAACATTTTACCTTTTTTATTCTTTTTGTATATATATTTTTATCATCATTTATTTTATTTTATTCAATTTCATTTTTTTTCATCCAATTATTTTATGTTTATTATTATTGGTTTCATTTATTTCCTTGGTTTACTCTTTGTTTTGTTACTTTCTTTTATTATTATTATTTTCTTTTAAAATCTTATTTTTAAGGGTATTTCCGTAAACTCGTTAAGGGTAAGTAATTCGGATCAAATTTACCTTTTAATTTAACTTTCAATTTTCTTAATCAAAGACAACTGGAAATTACGTAGTACCGAAATGACGGTTTAATGGTAAGAAAGGTTATTTTTGAGACTAAAAAAGACAGTGGTGTGATCTTATTGACTCAAAGAAAGGTATGAGTGTATCAAAAAGATAAAGGCAATGTTCAAGAATTTCAAAAGGAGTTAATGTCAAAAATTCATCTTTTGGTAATGACCACGAGTTGTTTTGGGCAAAGAATCAAGGTATTTTATTCTGGGGTTTGAGATAGGGTAAGAAAGGTCTAATCTTTCCATATGTCAAAAATCTATAATTCTTGAAGAATTAAAAAAATCACTAATTCATTTAATATTCGAAGAACTAAAGATTAAAATTTGTTCAATTGCTCCACCTTAGAAAGCAACATAAATTCAATCATTTAAAAGATTAAACAAACATGAAAGATCAAATACGTGTTCAAACAAAACAATCCTCTAAGTGCAAATGGTATATGCCAACTTCCCAAATTCAGAGCCAATTTCAACTTCAGAGCGAAGGATATTGGACTCAAGACAACGCAAGTTCAACTTCATGACGAATGGACCACTGGTTGTCAATAAACAACTTCCCAATTTCAGAGCCAATTTCAACTTCACAGCGAAGGATATTGAACTCCAGACAACGCAAGTTCAACTTCACGACGAAGGGACCGCTGGTTGTCAACAAATAACTTCTCAATTTCAGAGCCAATTTCAACTTCACAACGAAGGATATATGACTCCAGACAACACAAGCTCAACTTCACGACGAAGGGACCGCTGGTTGTCAACAAACAACTTCCCAATTTCAGAGCCAATTTCAACTTCACAGCGAAGGATATTGAACTCGAGATAACGCAAGTTCAACTTCACGACGAAGGGACCGCTGGTTGTCAACAAACAATTTCCCAATTTCGGAGCCAATTTCAACTTCACGTCGAAAGATATTGGACTCCAGACAACGCAAGTTCAACTTCACGACGAAGGGACCGCTGGTTGTAAACAAACAATTTCCCAATTTCGGAGCCAATTTCAACTTCACAACGAAGGATATTGGACTCCATACAACGCAAGTTCAACTTCACGACGAAGGGACCGTTGGTTATCAACAAACAACTTCTCAATTTCACAGCCAATTTCAACTTCACAACGAATGATACTGGACTCCAGACAACGCAAGTTCAACTTCACGACGAAGGGACCGCTGGTTGTCAACAAACAATTTCCCAATTTCAGAGCCAATTTCAACTTCACAGTGAAGGATATTGGACTCGAGACAACGCAAGTTCAACTTCACGACGAAGGGACCGCTGGTTGTCAACAAACAATTTCTCAATTTTGGAGCCAATTTCAACTTCACAAACAAAGGATATTGGACTCGAGACAACACAAGTTCAACTTCACAACGAAGGGACGACTGGTTGTCAACAAACAATTTCCTGATTCCAGAGCTAATTTCAACTTCATGACGGAGGATATTGGACTCGGAACACTGCTACTTACTTGGATTTCAACTTCACGACGAAGGATATCCAATTTCAGGCTCAACTTCACGACGAATGGGCCACCTACGGTTTCAACTTCACGACGAAGGGAATCGTGCACACAAGCATCATCCATCTTTATATTGGATTTCAACTTCACGACGAGGGATATCCAACTCATAGAAGAATTATCTGTCAACAAAGACCTTCGAGTTCGACTACGCTCAGCTCCTAGGCACATCATTTACAGCATAACTCAAGGCTAGAAGGGTTATCTGCCATCAAAATTGTCGAGTTTGATTCCATTCAGATCGATGGCACATCAATCGCACTAATTTCCAGTTGCAGTCGAGGTTTTTAAGTCGAGAAGAGGACCTGGGTTAGCCGTGCCTGAGTGACAAGCAACCATTTTCAAACAGCATAGCTTAAGTCAAGAAAAAGCTATCTGTCAATGAAGATTTTTTAGTTCGATTCCGATCCAAGGTCTTTAAACCGAGAAGAAGACCGAAGGTCAACGGGAAGCCACGTGCTGATTCAAATTCTGAACTACAGCTTCAATTTCATATCATTTCAAGATGAACTCGACTTCACGATAGAGGAGTCATCCGTAACTCAATTCGACAGGGAGTTATTGAAACATCAGAGTCAATTTTCAACTCCACTGAATGAAAAGTGTGTCTTTTAATCTTTGTCCTATCCCCGTTACACGATTATGGGCAAAGAGGGGCAGCTGTCAACACACATTTTCGTCATACTAGGATTCAAACTCCTAAAAATAGGATAGAATTTTGCTAGGATTCAAACTCCTAAAAATATGATAGAGTTCTACTATTATTTAAACTCCTAAAGATAGGATCCACAAGCATTATAAATAGTCATTGTAACTCACTATTGTAACACATTCGGAAGAGATATACGAAATACCAAGCAAAAAATTACAAGCAACTCGTAGCCATTTTTCGAAGCATTTATATTTTGAAAGGTAAAGTTCATACTTTCGCATGTTATTTTTCCTTACCCTTGATGTGTTTTTGATTCGAAAGAAAACTGAGAGAAATGTTTTTGGCCAATGAACGGGGGCGTTTTCGAGATCTATTTTTGTAGATCTAGCCTCCGATGCTTGTGTTTTTTTGAAAAACTATTCAGATTTTTATAAACGGGTCGTTTGGATCCGTGTGTTTTGCCTCTACAGTGGGTTAATGCCCATTTCGGTCCCCCTGATTTTAAATACACGCAGATTCGTTTTTTCTTCAATTGGCTTTTAATTTCGACCCCTAATTCATTTTTTATTTTAATTTAACCCTTATTATTTATATGTATATATATATATTTATTTAATTATATTTTATTTATTTATTATAGTTCTCTTTTTTTCATTTTTTTGTGTTATATTATATTATTTTCCTATTATATATATGTATAAATATTATATTATTATTATTTATATATGTTTACTTATTTGCTGTTTTTTACTATATTTTCCTAATGTTATATATATATATATTCTTACTTTATTTTATTTTATATTACTATGATTACTATTTTTTTAGTTAATATTATATGTATATTTATTTTTCATTTATTTATTATTACTATTACTATTTAGTATTTTATTATATTATACATATATTTTTATATATTTTTATATATATTTTTTTATTATTTTATTTATACTATTTATTTATTTTCATTATATTTTTAGTTTCTTTGCTCTTATTATTATTTTTCTTTTTTTAAAAAACACTTTACCTTTTTTATTCTTTTTGTATATATATTTTTATCTTCATTTATTTTATTTTATTCAATTTCATTTTTTTCATCCAATTATTTTATGTTTATTATTATTGGTTTCATTTATTTTCTTGGTTTACTCTTTAGTTTTGTTACTTTCTTTTATTATTATTATTTTCTTTTAAAATCTTATTTTTTTAAGGGTATTTCCGTAAACTCATTAAGGGTAAGTAATTCGGATCAAATTTTACCTTTTAATTTAACTTGCAATTTTCTTAATCAAAGACAACTGGAAATTACGTAGTACCGAAAGGACGGTTCAAGGGTGTTAATCCTTCCTTGACCGTAACCGACTCCCGAACCTGACACATCTTTGGAAAGACGCAGATCAGGTAAGAAATAGGGTATCCGATCAACTCATTTGTTTTAAATAAATGATCGGTGGCGACTCCAATCCATATTTTTCAAGTCGAAGCCCAATTTCGGGGCCCAACCGAAAGACAGCTGCGACAAAAGCAACGCTTCAACCTCTCCCTCCTCTACCTTTTTGTTTCTCATCATCGATAATATGCTTAGGCTTAACATAGTTAATATTGATCACATTAGTTATTTGTTTGTTTTTCTTTTGTTTTTTTGGGCTAAAACTAAACGTTTAGTATCTAAATTATTACTTTTATTCCGTTTTGGTATCTAAACTTTATATTTTTTGTCAAAATTATACCTAACATTAGTTTAGGTTTCATTTTAGTATCATGCCGTTAAAAACTTAGTGGATTTGTTCTATGTGATATTTTTATGAGTTGATTACATCATTCATCGCTCAATTATCTTCTCGCTCCTATTTTGGTCATTAAAATTTAAAAAAATTCAATTTAATTACTCAACTTTCAAATTGTTCCTGTTTTATTCACTTTAATTTATTTTTTTATATTTTTATGGTATGAATTTTTTATTATTATTTTATTAATATATAATTAAAATAAAAAAATTAAAATTATACCCAAACCCAAAAATTATACCATGAATCCTAAATCATGAACCCCTCATATATCAATAAAATAAGTTAGAGTGATTAAAGTATGAAACATTTGAAAGTTAAATTATTAAATTAAAAATTTGAACTTTAGTAACCAAAATAAAAGTGAGAAGATAGTTGAGGGATGAATGATGTAATTTACCCGTAAAATGACACTTCCCGTAACTTTTTAAAGGTTTAATATAAAAATAAGTGCCCAAAATATACTATTTTTCCTATTTAGTTGTCTAAACTATTTTTTATTAATTGAAGTGTCTAACGTTACAAAAGTTATCATTTTAAGTGTCCTGACAAAATAGTATCAATACTACCTCTTGAAGTATCTATACTACCTGTATTATTAAAATAAAAAGCTAGAGGTTGGGGAATTGGAGTATCGGTATTACATCATGTACTATCAGTACTCTTAGGAGTATTAGTATCATTTTGGCTTATCGAAATTTTCTGAACTTTGAAAATAAAATGTTGTATTGATACTACATGAATAGTGTCAATACTACATAAATAATATCGGTACAGTTCATACAATATTAGTACTTCAAAGCTGAAAAACTATTTGGACTTGTTTTAAAGTATAAAAATGTTTGAGAAAACGTTAAAAAAATTAGCTAAATAGAAACACATTTAGAACATTTTTTCAAGTTTATTTTAACTTTAAATTATTTTTGAAATAATTGAATAAATTCAATTAAGTATAAAAACATTTTACTTTTATTTTTTATATCAAAATATAGATTTAACAGTAATAAATTCACGATTTAAGAAAAAAAGTGAGAGCTTTTAACCACCTCCTTTAAATATTTTTGATATCATATTTTCACTTTTAAACCAATAAGTTTAACTTAAATAATATTTCTTGTAAAAATATTAAAGAATAAACAGATTGATGTGGTGGAACCACAAGACTCAAGATAAAACCACGAAATGCTATGGTTGTTAAATATGATTTTAAAAATTTATTTAAAAGTCATTCGTGGGATCATGCACTCTTTGTTTTCCTAGATATAATGGAAAAAAAGTATAATTGGGTGAATCTAGCTATTCTTGAAACAACTCGCACACACTCCTTAAAGATCAATACACCAAGAATTATGCTTAGATTTATTAGATTTGTTGCTAAAATATCGATATTAACCCCAAAACTCCCGACGGATGGCTAGTGACCTATTGATTAATATTTTTATTTACAAAAAAAATTACCCATAATTAAATATTAAGATCAAAATATTAAAAATAAGAGCTAAATAAAAAAATTAATTTAACATTAAGAATATCCATGGAGGGAAACCCGACCCATAGGAAATAAATAGATCCAATTCTAACGTCAATAGAGCCAGTTTCTCCCAAAGGAAAGTTGAGTGAAGTAGAGTCTAAAACAATGGCGGTGGGAGATTCACTGAAGCTATGAATATGATACACGTAACAGCATGGTCCAAATAAAACGTAATAAGATAAGCTTAAACTTTGTTGTCCAAAAATAAAATAAAATATAAATTGCATGAAAACTTGCACACGTGTCAGCGAAGACGCGCTCCTGGTGCCACCTTTCTCCCCCTTCCTAACATCCACTCTCTCTCTCTCACTCAAACACACTCAGTTCGCAAGTAACATTGCGAAATAACTTTCCTCTGTACTCCACTGTAAGCACTTTCCGAATCTTCCAGGTTTTTCTCTTCATTCTTCATATATATATATATAGTACTTGCTGAAATGCTTTGCTTGCGTTCTTCATTTTAGTGTAATGAATCTTTAATTATTTTGATGCAGTAAATGGGAGTATGATTATAAAGAAGAAGCTCCCTCGATTCATAATGGCTGGTTTGCTAATGTTGTTTACCAAGGTATCATAACCATACCATTTTCTCTCTGCAAATTGGTACATTTTGTCCGAAAATTTGTGTTAAAACCTGGTTGCAGTTGGTGAAGGCAGCAATTTCCTTTCCTGTGAACATGTTCTGGAAATCAGTACTTTGGGCAGTTGCTCTTCTATCTCTTCCTTTCAGAATGTTGACTGCCTTGCAGAGGGAAATGCTGGTTAGTTTCAGCATAGCTTAGACAGTTGCTCTTCTATCATGTCTGCTATTATCAACGGAAATAAGAAGCATGGTCTTGTTTGCAGCTGGAACAACGTCTACAAGAGATGCAGTATGATTTGAAGACGCTTGTTTGGGACAGGAAGGAGCTTGAGGACCATCTCCAAGCAGCTGTAAGAGAAAGAAGAATTATGGAGTCTATGTTAATTGAACTTGAAGGGGAACATGACAAGGCTATTGCCAGGATCGAATTATTGGAGGGTGAAGTAAATATCTCAAACTATCTGGAGTATGGACCATCTGGCATTTATGGATACATACATATTATTTAAAGTACACAAATGGTCCTTGACTATAGATGTTATTTTTACGTTGTTTTGCTAAGTCTCCTGACTATTAAAAGTTATAAATTATCTTTCGATTATAAGATATTACTTTGTTGAGTCATTCGATTATTAAAAGTTACTAAATGATTATCTGATTATTTATGTATTTCAAACTTATCATTTATCATTAAAAATTTATGATGAATCCTAACCTAGTGACTAGGAATCATATCCTAGAACCATTTGAGTTGTATAGTCGTTTGAGATTTTGGATCAGATTTTATCATATTTCAGTTTCAGTTAGTATATTAATATTCAGCTCATTCTGTCGTTAATTTTTTAACGAAAAATGATGAATTTTGAACATATGAATATGAAGAGTCAGGTGACTATTTAGTTACTTTGAAGAGTTAGGTGACTATTTAGTTACTTTGAAGAGTTAGGTGACTATTTAGTTACTTTTAATAGCTTGGAGACTTAACAAAGCAACATTTTATAGTTGAGATCATTTTGTAATTTTTAATAGTAGAGACTCAACAAAAAAATAATCGGAGACCATTTGTGTACTTACCCTGTTATTTAACTGGTATGATTAAATGTATTGTACTTGAGTATGGACCATCTGTCGTTTATGGAGACATAAATTATCTTAGAACCAAAAGATGCACAATCGGTCATTTATGAACATGTGTTTGGGAAGACTGAAATCCATGTACAACTTTCTGCATTGCATGTAGCTTTGAGCATATACTGAAATACTATGCTACCAGTTGCAGTATTTAGAGGATGAAAACCTTCAGCTGAAAGAGGTTCAAGGTAAAGCAGCATGTAGTTATACCGATCACAATGCGACAAAAACGAACAAAAGTATGAATTCCGTTGATAATCATGTCATTCCCTACAGCGTTGCCCCATGGATTTCCAGTTATAAGGGAAGTGGGATCTCCTTGCAAGAGCTGATGATAAACAGACAAGTATTGGAAGGTAAGAACAAGAGTAACACTAAATTGTTCAATTTATTAAAACCTGGCCCTGAACCAAGCGGATCAGTGGAACTATTTACGCCTAGTGTTCAAGATGTCGACACTTTTATCGGACAACGGCGAGACGTTGCACTTTCAAAAACTCTTTTCAGTGCAATTTTATCAGTTTTGGTTGGAATGGTAGTCTGGGAAGCCGAAGATCCTTGCATGCCCCTTGTGGTGGCCCTCTTTGCTGTTGTTGGCATGTCACTGAAAAGCGTTGTTCAGTTTTTCATCAGTATAAAGAACAAACCTGCTTCTGATGCAGTCTCCCTCTTGAGTTTCAATTGGTTCATAGTGGGGACACTCAGTTATCCAGCACTGCCCAAGGTTACCCATATGCTGGCTCCATTGAACTTAAGCCTCGAGAACCGACTAGCAAGCTGCTTTGGTATCTCATTCAACTAGGTTTTATATCCCATTCAGATTACGTAGATATGTGTTAAGGGAGTTGTATTTATCGCGATTGATAGATATAACGGGTATTATAACAGTAGACATAAAATAATGAAAAATGACGGGTGTATTGGAAATTGTAGCTGTTTTTAATATAAAATATAATGAAGAGTGTCATGTTTATGGCTATTTTGCTTTTGGAATTTGATAGACATAAGGAATCAAAGAGACTCCACTTGCATTTATTTATGTATGCTTTTGTCCATTCAGGGTAAGTGCATTGCAGGATTAAGGATTGGGCTAACCAAAGGAAATGTATGGTAAAGCAAGCAAAGGAAATTACTTTTTTTTGGATATTTTTATTTGAAAAAAGTGAAATTAAGGTAATTTAGTTTTATTTTTGTTTATTCGATATGGGGTTTTGCTTACTTTAAGGAGGATAATGCGATTTTAGAAGTAAAGGATGTGATGGTTGAAAAAGAAATGCATCTCAAAGGTCAGCAATTAGGGTTTGAATTGTAAAAGGGATTGATGGGCTAATTGGGTATTTAAACGGATCTCAATGTAAATCCCAAATGTTCAAGTGGTTTGTAGGAGGTTCGAAAATAGAAACGAATGATGTAAAATAAGTAACACTAATCATATATATTTAAATAGTTACTACTTTTGTTAAAGAAACGTTCAACTTTTTAGTAGATTTGTCAATCTATTAAGTAGAATTTGATAACCTTTATCGTAGCTATTTGTTGGGACAGAGCTAGGATTGAATTACGAGGAGATAAATTGATTAAGTTTAAGATAAATAAGATCGTAAAAAATAATTAAACCATAAAAATTAAAAGATTAAGGATTTAATTTCATTAATTTTAAAAGTCTTAAAATATAATTGAATCAGATAAATTTAGGATTGAAGCTTAATTTTATTAATTTTAAAAATGACAGAGTCCGCAAACCGATTATACCAGAAAGTTCTAGAAAGGTAGGGATTTAATTGCAATGATTTCAAAACGACTAATGACTTAAGAAATAATTAGATCATGAAAGTTTCGGGGGCCAATTATCCTTCCCACCTATAACATGGATCCGTCCCTAATTACATGAATTCTGAATTTGTGTCTAAAAAAAATAAAATTCTAAATTTGTGTCTAAAAATTAATAAAAGAGGTAATATCAGTCTTATAAATTAAAAAAATGATGTTTGGAAAAAAGTTGTTAATAAATTTAGTAGCCACTACATTTGTAAGGGATTTGGAGTGAACTTTTATGGCAGTTATTACATACATTAATATCTAAGTTCGTGTATTTTTAGGTAACAAAACCTGTATACAAAGCAATACCTTTATGAGTTACCTATACCCAACCCCGTGTTTTTTACTATATTTGTTTACATTATGTCTGTTTTTTCGTATTAAAAAGTTTTAAGCAAATATTAATTTATATTTGTTTTGAATCAATTTTTAAACAAAAAGAAGTATGGTTTTACCTCCATTTTCAACTAAGAAGGATTGATAATTTGTTTTTAACGTAAAATCTCTTATCAGCCCTAATCGTATACTATTATTAAAATAGAAAATTAAAATAACTAGTGAATAGTGGCGAAACATAAGAGGAACTAGTGAGGTGAAGGCTCACCCAAAATTTTAAAAAATTATAATTTAGGCCTTTAAATCTTTTAAAAAGTTTAATGTCTCCCTTAAAATTTTTGAAAATTCATATTAAACTTTAAAAGTTTTCAATGTTTGTAATTAAACCCCCTCTCATAATTTTTAAAAAATCTCATTAAATCTCTCAATTTTTCAAAAATTTTAGTTAGATTTTTATTTTTTTTTTGAAAAAAAATATAAACTAAACTATTCAAAAAATTTAAAAATTTTAATTTAAATCTTTTTATTTTTTTAAATTTTAAATTAACATCCTTAAACTTTATCACCAAATTCTATCACCGGATATCATGTTGTTGTCGGAAACTATAAGGGGCTATTTAGTTTAGGGGATCTCGGATTACGGGGGGAATGGAATGTCATTCCCCCGTTCGGTTGGCCAACATTCTCAGTCCTCGGTAATCTTTTGGGGGTATATTATCGGGAATGTGATTATCTCCATTTCCTTAGGTATTGTTAAATTATCGACATTTTAAACTAAAATGTCCTTATTTTTTTAACAAATATCATTCTTCTGTCGTTGAATAAAAAAATTCTACGAAGGTTAAATTAAAAGTTTATCCTTAAACTATTTTATATTTACAAAAAAATATATAATTAGAATTTTATATGAAGTTTAGGGGTTAAAATAAAAATTTGTCCTTTCATTAAACCTATTTATCTTTTCAATTTTACAAAAAAAATTATATAAATTTTATGAATTTAAATTTTTAAAAATATATATAAATTAATTATAGTAAAATTATAGTAGAATTCAACTTGTTAAAAAACAAATATATAATAAGGACAATTTGTTAAAATATACATTTCAATATTCTATTATTTTTTTAATCAAACATTGTAATCTTACATTCCTACTAAACAGACTAAACATAAAATACAACATTAATAATAATCTTATTTCCGCCGGTAATCTTATTCTCACTGATTATCTTATATTTCGTGAACCAAACACAAAAAATACCGACGCAAATCATTTTTTTTCTTTCATCTTTATCACTTTCAGTCACACACCATTAATTATTCCACGTTGCATATGTAAACCACTCGCACGTGCTCTTACTGTAGCTCAGCATCGGCCTTCTACTGCCATCTCTCTCTCTAATCCACGCCTCATTCAATTTAAAAGTAAACAATTATTTTTTTATTTTAGGGTAGATTATGCATGTGATCCCTTAATGTTTATGATACATGATTTTTTCATCATACTTTTTAAATTTGTAATACAGTCATTAAACTTTTAATTTATTTTCATTATCGTCATTATTTTTAAGAGGAACTGACGTCACATATTAATAATCGTTAACTGCACAAACCAAACAATCTAAATGATTAAAGAATTATTGTTGTTCCTTAAGATTTTAAGTTCGAGTATCGCATGCACATAATATATAAGTATTCAATATCAAATAGTTAAGAGTATTTAATATATATTATATATCATCAAAGATTAACAAAAAAATATAATCGTCGACCTACTCTCATATGTATCATTATCATTTGATAATTTTTCTATTATCATCATCACTATTAAATATAATCTCATTATACTCAAAAGTTTTATATATTCTCACAATCATTTAATCATTTATCATCATTATTTTATTTATATCTCAAATACAATTAAATTTCTCTCACCATTCAAGAATTCCTCTATATTTGAGTGTTGAAATAAAAAATCTTTGAAGGTAGAACAACTATAACAACCTCATCAACTAATCTACCAAGAGGAAGAATATTTTTTTTTAATTTTTTAAAACAGTAAATAAATAAACCCAACGACCACGTGATAAAGAGTTTGAGAAAAGAATTTGAAATTCAAAGTCAGTGTATCAGACACTGAGTGCAGAAAAAATGCACCAAATTTTAAGTGCATTGAATATAATTACATGGTCAGATCCAAGGAAAGTGAAGATCGAAGTCTTCATTTCAAACATCTGTGTCACAATGTTAAAGGAAAAATGAAAGTAATTAATCAATGTATAATTTAATTTCAAGATCTTATTGGTTAGACTAATTCAGAACCTAATAAAGAAGTGTGGAGACACATCTTTTTAAGAATAGAATTTATGCTGTGTTTTGATTGTTAGACAAAACGTTAATTCTAGAAATATATTAGTAAAATAATAATTAAAATAAGATAATATTATTATTTAATCGAACGAAGTAAAATAAATATAAAATTAAAATAAAGAAACGAAATTGTTACTCGTATTTAAACATAAAAATGGATATGAGTAGAGTCGAGAAAGTAGAAGTTTTATTGAAGCATGTATGAACAGTTTTCTTAAGACAAATTCGTCCTCTCCTCATTGCTTTGAGTAACTTGGACTTCGATCTTCCAAAATACAACAATAGACAATCACAACAATAAGCACAACAACAATAATAAGTGTACTAGAGAGACGACCCAACGTCTTTCATAAAAATTAGTTAATCTCTCTCACTTACATAGGTAATTTCATTAGGTTTATCTAAAAATAAATCACTCGAATCAGAACTATGAAATTATTGAGAGCTTTTGTAAGCTAATCCTTACAATAAAAATAAGTGAATTCTTCAAATTCATTTAAAAATGGACCACCTAAACTCTAAAATAAGAATTCATTATCTTTTTATCAGTTAATTCAATAAGTTATTCTCAAATAAGATCATCTAAACTCTTTCGGATTGAATACATTAAGAGTTAAGAAACCCATCCTTTCTAACAGTAAGTCTATTTAGTCATTCTCAAAATTATGGACTCGTCAAGAATAGTTATTTAAGTAGAATGATAAATTTATAGTCTTTCTAATCAAGGCTACTCAAAATTTAGGCCGTGAATTTATTAAGAGCAGAGAGCTTTAAGAATGCCTACTGATTCAGGTCGTTTAAATTTGTGTGATAGATTTGAGTTGTAGTAAAATGGTTTTTATCGTGCACTTGGTTGCGTGGGAAGTTTCATTGCCAGATGGGAAAGCAAAGGAAGTTAAAAAGACGATGACGATGCAACTACTAGAGAAGCTAAATAATAAATTAGATTGGACCCTTCGCTTGTGAATGTTGTTACTGTTCTTGAATCATTTTTATTCAAGGTATTGAAATATTTATCTTATACCTGCAATTTACATTGTATTCTGCTTTGGCTTTCAGCTATTTACAGATTAATGATTTTCTGTACAACATCTTCTTAGAGCTGTTCCTGATACCAACATACTTCACAACCAAAAAGCATCCAAGCCTAAGTCGAATCTCGCTGAAGTGGACGTTGTGTTCAATGTAACACCCCCAACCCGGATCCAAGTTCCATGTGTCACATTGACTTTTCAAATCATTTTCTTTTACAAATTGGTTAAAATTTAAATTCACAAT